GTGGAGAACGTTCTGCTGCCTGCAACATCCTCCAGCATGACCGGTTTGGCAGTGGGTCAGTAATGGGGTGGGTTGGCATTTCTTTAGGGGGCCGCACAGTCCTCCATGTGCTCGCCAGAGGTAGCCTGACTGCCACTAGGTACCGAGATGAGGTCCTCAGACCCCTTGTGAGACCATATGCTGGTGCGGTTGGCCCTGGGTTCCTCCTAATGCACAACAATGCTAGACCTCATGTGGCCGGAGTGTGTCAGCAGTTCCTGCAAGACGAAGGCATTGATGCTATGGACTGGCCCGCCCGTTCCCCAGACCTGAATCCAATTGAGCACATCTGGGACATCACGTCTCGCTGCATCCACCAATGCCACGTTGCACCACAGACTGTCCAGGAGTTGGGGGGTGCTTTAGTCCAGGTGTGGGAGGAGATCCCTCAGGAGACTATCCGCCACCTCATCAGGAGCCTGCCCAGGTGTTGTAGGGAGGTCATACAGGCAGGTGGAGGCCACACACACTACTGAGCCTCATTCTGACTTGTTTTAAGGACATTACATCAAAGTTGGATCAGCCTGTAGTGTTTTTTTCCACTTTAATTTTGAGTGTCACTCCAAATCCAGACCTCCACGGGTTGCTCAATTTGATTTCCATTGATAATTTTTGTGTGATTTTGTTGTCAGCACATTCAACTATGTAATGAACAAAGTATTTCATAAGAATATTTCATTCATTCAGATCTAGGATGTCTTATTTTTGTGTTCCCTTTTTTTTTTTGAGCAGTGTATATTAGTTAGCGGTCCTCAAATTTACAATTATTGGTTTAGTGACCAAAGTTACAACAACACTGAAAAAAAAAAAGCTATGACCGGTTTTTACACCTGCAGTAGCCTGATGGTCACGTGATCGCACACTTCAGAGGCTTGGAAACTGGCATGTACTTCTGATGGTTGAGTGTCCCGAGGTCACGACCTTCTGACAAGCAAAGGCAACGGGGAAACCATGATTCATGGTTTGTTAAGTAATCTGGCTTCCCCAATGACTTTGCTTGTCAGAGGATCACAAAAGAGGATCACACACCCTGTTTCCCCAAAATAGGACCTACCTTGAAAGTAAGTCCTATCTTGATTTTTTTTACACGTGTGCCCAATATAAGCCCTACCCCCCAAAATAAGCCCTAATTAAGATCTCCCCCACTTCAGAGTGGACGGGTAAATATTAAGCTATAGTGGGGGTGGGGTGGAGCTGCCGTACTGTGGACAGGTGTAGCCACCCCGGCACACCCCGATACCTGCCTTGCTGGCCCATTTCTTCTGCAGCCAGCAAGGCTGGCCAGGCTTTCCTGAAGTCCTCTGGAGCTGATAACAATGCTCAGGATCGATCCAAAGCTCTGTTACCCGCTGCAGAGGCCTTCAGGAAAGCCGGCCGCAGAAGAAGAGGTTCCTGAAGGCCTCGGACAGCGAAAAGGAGGCCAGGTGCGACGCACACAAGTGAGGCTAGTCACTGGATGTCATCCCCCCAAAATAAGACCTGGTGCCTTTTTTGGGTGGCCAAAAAAAAATATATAAGACAGGGTCTTATTTTGGGGGAAACGCGGTAATCCTGGGACACTCAACCGTCATAAGTACATGCCAGTTTCCAAGCCTCTGTAGTTTGATCACGTGACCCCGGAGGTGCTGCGAAGTCAATTTTTTCCCCCCACGGTGCCTTTGTCACTTCGAACGGACACTAAGCGAACCGTTGTAAGTTGAGGACTCTCCGTAATTGATGGTAAAGCTATCAGTTACCAGTGAAACGATTCTGACGTCTGTTTTTTCCTTCTTCTTTTCTTTCTTGCAGATTATCAGCATGTGGGAAATAGAGGCCGAATGACCGATTAATAATGCCAGGACGTGAGTATACAGAATTCTATTAATAATTATGCGCATGGACTCTTTTAAGCTCCTGGCAAAAACGATGGGGTTGAGGAGAAATACGGTGGTTATTCCTGAAGCTAAATCTCTGGATTCATGCCCACTGAAACCGCCAGAATCTGGGTAATTATAACCCGGAAAAGGTATTAACAATTTTTATTTGCTTGGCAGCTAAAACAATCCCTGAGGGGAAAATGTTCCCATGCTGTAATTTCCAGTCAGTCTCTGCAACGCCAGAGAAAGCTTGCAGGCGGAATGGACGGTTGAATTATGTGGATGTTTATGGTTCAAATACAGGGGACTCCCTTCTTTTGATGTGATAAAAGCAGGGGGGATCGAGGCACATTTTCCACCCGAGAAAAGAAGTGGGCGCCCAATTCAAAATTTCAGTGAAGGGAGTTCATCACCGTATGGAGACTTCGGAGCAGGCGCTTCGGCTACACCTGCCTGCGCTCATTTGCTTTTAGCGTCTCAGAATAGAATAATAGAGAATAGAAAAGAATAGGAAATAAAGTGGAAAAGAACAGAGAATAGAAAAGAAAAGAATAGAGAATAGAATAGAAAAGGATGAATAGAATAGAGAATAAAAATAGAATAGAATAGAGAATAGAAAAGAATAGAAAATAGAGTGGAAAAGAATAGAGAATAGAAAAGAAGAATAGAGAATAGAATAGAAAAGAATAGAAATAGAATAGAGAATAAATATAGAACAGAATAGAGAATAGAAAAGAATATAATAGAAAATAGAATGGGAAAGAATAGAGAATAGAATAGAAAAGAATAAATAGAATAGAAAAGAAAAGAATAAATAGAATAGAATAGAGAATAAATAGAATAGAATAGAGAATAAATAGAGAATAGAATAGAGAATAGAAAAGAATAGAAAATAGAGTGGAAAAGAATAGAGAATGGAATAGAAAAGAATAAAAAATAGAACAGAGAATAAATATGGAATAGAACAGAATAGAGAATAGAATAGAGAATAGAATGGAAAAGGATAAATAGAGAATAAATAGAGAATAGAATAGCGAATAGAAAAGAATAGAATAACAGAGCTGGAAGGGACCTTTGAGGTCTTCTAGTCCAACCCCCTGCCTAGGCAGGAAACCCTATAACCCCTTCAGACAAGTGGCTCTCCAATCTCTTCTTAAAAACTTCCAGTGTTGGAGTATTTACAGCTTCTGGAGGCAAGTGAGCATCTTTCCTTTTCCAAAACTTATTATTATTATTATTATTATTTTTGCCAAGGAAAAGTCGCTGTTTTGATGTGAACGGTAGCTTTTCCCCCCTCGCAGTGGCCCAGAGGGACTTTGACAGGGAGGCTTTGGACCGCCATGTTCCCGAGAGGTTTTCTGAGGAGGAAACGTTGGTCCCCCTTGAAGTTTTACAACGCCGGGCCTTGCGTGAACCGGATTCCGCTGGCCTTTTTGTCGCCTCTCTTGCTTGGCTCCAACTAGAGACCCGTGGACGGGCTTCTCGTTATAAAATAGGCATTCCTGTCCTTGGACGAAGCGGTTTGGTGGCCTAGAGGTGGAGTTCTTGCCTCACAGTCCGGAGGCTATGAGTTCGATCCTGGGTAGAGGCAGGTATTTCTCTCTCTCTCGGCACGATGAGAATATATCCGCCAAAAGAAAACTCCGCATTGGCAACAGGAAGGGCAGCTGGAACCCTCCAGAGCAGGTGAAGGGCAGTAGCGCGTCAGATGCAGAGCGGAGACAATTCTACGGAAGTGTGGAGACTTGTAGAAGCCGGGGTCGGATTAGAGTTGAACCCAGTTTGTTGACGGCTTGTATGATGCCGTGAGCTCCTCCGTACGGTCGGAAGGGCCCTCTTTCCAACAGGATGTGAGCCCTTGGCCCAAATCTTTTGGGCCAGAAGAATCTTCTCCAGAGCTTTTGTAGAGGGATATTTGGTTAAAGTTGACTTTGCAAATGCTTCGCGGCAGGGAAGCTTCAGGGTACAAGAATCTCCCTCAAGATAATAAAAGAACCTGTGCGCATCCTACGGATCAAAGCAACCCTTTGCGTGTGTCGCTCTGTTGCTTGGTTTGCACAGTCAGCCAGATGTTCAGATTGGATTCGGCATTTTTTTAATCTGGCTATCGGGTGGATTAACCCTGTCCACAGCCAGCAGTTCAATCCTGACCGACTCAAGGTTGACTCCGCTTTCCATCCTTCCGGTCAGTAAAATGAGGTCCCTAATTCTTGAGGACAATAGGCCGATATTTGTAAACCGCTGAAGAGAGAAGCGAGATATAAGTCTAAGCGCTATCGGCTATTGGCTATTGAATCCCTCCTCGGGGTTAGGCAGGTGTGATGATGTTACAGATCTCATCACAGGATGTTAAGCTGTTCCAAGTCAAGCCGCCTTTTGCAATTGACCGATGGAGAATGTGTCAATGGCGTTCAAGTGGTGCTCCAGTTATTGCTGTTAGGGTTCTTTGCGCAGCCAGCCGGACGTTGAGACGGGATCTGCATTTTTGTCTACCTCTCGAGACTTTCCCGAGGACCTGGGAGAGACAGGTGTGGTTGTTTGATGGCGTTGCGGTTATCACCGCAAGACGGAAGCTCTTCCGAGTGAAACTGCCTTTTGCAATTGACCGATGGGGAAATTTGTCAATTCCACTGATGTTCAAACGGTGCTCCAAGTTGTTGTTGTTAATGGTTTGCCATCAAGTCAGCCAGATGTTCAGAGTGGATTTGGCAGTTTTGTCTACCTTTCGACTTCCCAAGGACTTACGATTATATCGCGTTGCTCTGCAAATACACGGGGTGCTCCTGGGCAAATTAACCGAACTGGGCCAAAATAAATAAGTTAATAAAATAAAATAAAATAAAGGGGCCCCAAGAAACCCAAACCTTTTGAGGCTGAAAGCTTGCATCCCCGTGGAGGCCATCGCACTCACCTCTGTTGCCACAGCAAAGCCAAGCCGCTCTTTGGAGGAGGCACAACAACTAATGATGATTAGAGGTTTCAGCCATGACCTTCCTTCTCAAGCGGCTCGCAGGATGTGTTTCGACTTGTTGGAAAGCTTTTGTTGTTCACGCCGAGTAAACGCTGCGTCCCTGCCTGCGGTTTTTTTTCCCCCCCTCTCCGGAGTGACACCGTTGCTCCAGTTGTGAGTCACGCTGCAAAGTGCGCAGACGAGAAGGACGAGGCCAACAGGACACCGGCTGGTCTCCACTTTCCAGGGTCCTGAATTATTAACAGAATCCTTGCACGTGCTCTGGGAAACATCGGGGGTGTGGATATCCAATCCGGATTGAACGCCGGTGTCGGAATTCAGTGGTGCGCAGCGCAGGCTGGAAGGGCACGGGAGAGTCAGAGGCAGCCACAAGGCTGAGTGAGCCATGCTGGCGAGGATGAGGACCTATGTGGCTGTTCCCGTAGCCGAGCCGGATAGGTCTTATGACTACAACCCCGCCTGGGAACCGGGGCCCTGCGCCTGTTTTGGTAGGTGGCACGTTCCCTTCCTCCCTTCGAGTCCCTGACGGGAGATCAGGTTCTTCCAAAGCAGCGATGCGCAAAACGGATGCTGACTTTTGTGCAGTTTCCTCTTGGTGTTTGCTGTGGTTAGGGTTTTGTCATGTCAGTGTATGTTATTGGAATAAACGCTGCTGCCACCGTACAAGTTTGCAACCGCTGGGAATGATCCTATCATTAATGTAAATTTCACTGTCTTAACCTGAACGCACAGATATAATAGACCTCCTTCTCGGTGGTGATGGAGAATCCAGATAACAATTTGGTTCAAAGTATTTGGGGTCTGTTCAATTGCCTTCTTTTTAACTTCGTGTAGCTTATCCTGTACGATTAAAGATATAAGAATGAGACCTTGTGGAGCCCCTTTACAAGAATAATAACCACAACTTTATAACCTAACTATATATCAATATCAGTATCAATATCTCTATCTCTATATCTATATCCATCTCTCTCTCTCTCTCTCTCTATATATATATATTTATATATTTATATATTTATATATTTATATATTTATATATTATTTATATATCTCTATATATTTATATTTATATTTATAACTATCTATCTATCTATCTATCTATCTATCTATCTATATCTATATCTATATCTATATCTATATCTATATCTATATCTATATCTATATCTGTCTGTCTGTCTGTCTGTCTGTCTATCTATCTATCTATCTATCTATCTATCTATCTATCTATCTATCTATCCATCCATCCATCCATCCATCCATCCATCCATCCATCTAGGCAAAATACCACTCACACATCACCACAAAATCTCCAGAACCGTAAAGCCTACAAACGTGAAATTTAGCCATATGTTCCTCTTGGCTTCTAGGGACTCACTAAGAAAGGATTTTTTGAAATGACCCCGGTTAAAAGGCTGCTGCAAAGTAATTAACTTTGATAAGCATAGGCCTCGCCAAAACACTGCAAGGCTGCCAAGAATAACAGATAAGGTTACCTAGAAATATTTTACAACACGTCTTCAAATACGAACTTAAGATACTGCAATGTCCACAAGGCTGAAGTTTCAAAACGTCTTTGCTTCCTGCAAAGAACGCTCTCTTCACAGGTAGCTTTTATCTTCTTGAAGGAGGGGCCGTCACCTTGCAGCCTTACTCCCGAGTCACCCGTGCTGCTGCAGCTGCTCTTTCCTTCGAGCAGCCCTGCACGCACGCGGAGTTGGCACAGGCTCCTCGGGAACCTCCTCATCGCTGCTGCCAGCCCCCACCATCTCTGAAGGCAGCAGTCCACTCCCTGACGGTCCCGGCCCCTCACCTGAGTCCTCGCTCTCCTCGGCTGTCCACACCTGCTGCCGGCTAACCACAACAGGCTGCCCCGCCGCCCCGCTACTCCACCTTGTAAACTTGCAAAGAACATGGGTCTCCTCCGAGTTGCAGACGGCTAAGGTACAGGCCTCTCCTTCCCCGGCCGTCTCCCTTCTCACCACCCGTGTCTCCCGCAGGAGTCTGCTGCTGCTGCGCTGCCCTGCGCCCGCGATACAAGCGCCTGGTGGACAATATCTTCCCCGAGGACCCCAAAGTAAGTGGGGGAGGGGGGGGTCTCTGTCGCTAGGCGGTTGGGACGTGGGGTGGGAGTGCCTGGGCATCGGGCAGAGCCCTGCCCTGCCAGGTTTTCCTTTGGGCAAGACGGGCACCTGGCAGGTTTGGTTCCTTGGGCTGCTCCCCTTGGCTGAGTCTCTACGCTGGGAAGACGTGGGACCTTTCCCCCCCCCCCCCCCTTGCCCCTGTGGTGCCGGGGATTGCCGGCCCCCCCCCCCTTTTTAAAAAAGGCTAGGGACAGGTGACTTGTGGCCAGGTGCTCAACCGCCTTTCAGAGTCTGTTCTTAAGGGCTGAGAGCGAAGGAGCCGCTTCCCTTCTGCTTCGATACAGGAGCCTGGAAGGTTCTCTAGCATGGGGGTCAGGCCCCTCCCTCCCTTCCTCCCCTTCCCCTCTTTCTTCCTCCCTTGCTTTCCCATCCCTTCCTCTCTCCCTCCTTCCCTCCCTCTCTCTTCCCCTTCCCCTCTTTCTCCCTCCCTCCCTCCCTCTCTTTCCCTCCCCTTCTCCTCTTCCTTCCCTCCCTCCCTCCCTTGCTTTCCCATTCCTTCCCCTCCCTCTCCCTCCCTCCCTCTTTTACCCCCCTTCCCCTATTCCTTCCTTCCTCCCTTCCTTCCTTCCTTCCTTTCTTCCTTTCTCCTTCCTTCCCTTCCTTGCTTTCCCATTCCTTCCCCTCTTTCTCCCTCCCTCCCTCTCCCTTCCTCCCTCCCTCTCTTTCCCTCCCCCTTCCCCTCTTCCCTCCCTCCTTCCCTCCCTCCCTCGCTTGCTTTCCCATTCCCTTCCTCCTCCTCCTCCCCTCCCTCCCTTTTCCAAAACCTCCAGGAGCCCCCAGGCTGTTCTCCTCCTGTTGCCTCCCCCTCCCCATCTCTCTGGGGGGGGGCTTTCACCAGAGATCCCACTTAAAGTGGCCTCAGGCTGGCCACCCCCGCTGTGCCTGCCCCTTTTGGGGGGGTGGGGGTGTCGAGGCCGAGGCTGCCCCCCCCCAACGGGAGCGGTCAAGGGGGAAGCTCCCCACGGCTGCCCGGCCCACCCGCTTGTCCCCTCGGACCCCCAGGATGGCCTGGTCAAATCGGACATGGAGAAGCTGACCTTCTACGCCGTCTCGGCCCCGGAGAAGCTGGACCGGATTGGCGCCTACCTGGCGGAAAGGCTGAGCCGGGATGTCGTCCGCCATCGCTACGGGTGAGAGGCCGCTATGGGCGCCCCAGGCCCCTCCCCTCCCTGCCAGGGCGGCCTTCAGCACCAAGGCCCTGAAGGGAACCCGGGGGTCTTCTAGCCCAGCCCCCTGCCCAAGATTTATTGAAACATGGGGCTGGAAGGGTCCTTAGAGGGCATCTAGTCCAACCCCAAGATCATAGAGTCGCAGAAACATAGGGATGGAAGGGCCCTTGGAGGTCTTCTAGTCCAAACCCTTGCCCAAGATCTTAGAAACATGGGGCTGGGAGGGTCCTTAGAGGTCTTCTAGTCCACCCCCCTGCCCAAGATTTATTGAAACATGGGGCTGGAAGGGTCCTTAGAGGGCATCTAGTCCAACCCCAAGATCATAGAGTCGCAGAAACATAGGGATGGAAGGGCCCTCGGAGGTCTTCTAGTCCAATCCTGCTGCCCAAGATCATAGAAACATGG